AGAGAGAGAGAGAGAGAGAGAGTTATATTTACGGACATTCGAGTAATTCTGAGAGTCAGAAGTGACGAATTCCATTTTGGCCAAAATGAGAGGGGTTAAAAAGAGAAGAGAAAAAAAGAAGACAAATGTAATCCCGCGTGTCCACCAAACCCGAAACTGTCCGTTCAAAAGTCGTCCGTCTCTCGGGAAGTGGGTTGTTGAAATGGAGCACCAGTTTTTTTACCTTAGCAATCAGTGAGAATTATTGCGTTTTTCATGTGTCCACTTAAACGACACGATTCCTCCCTATAAAACACGGGTCGGCTAGAATACAGCATGCGACATTTTTTTGTCGGGTTGTGCAGTGACAACCCCCCGGGGCAGTGCCACTGACTGTCGTGTCTTTAGGCCATTCCCAAACGGGGGACGTTTCTTGTTCATGCACAGTAGAATTGTAAATGGGCTGATTCATCAATGTCACGCTCATAACTGCCTGATCTACAACAGGGAACTGCTACTTTTTCTTTCCTAATCCTTACTATTGTCACTTTTCTTCTTCTTCTTTTGTATGTTTGTCACACTCTTGTGAACCAGTATTTCCGGGGTGCCTTGATAGTCAAAGCAGACTTTGTGCTGTTGAAGCTAGAGAGGTGAGCAGAGTAAGTCTGATTCCCTGTAAGGAGTTTTCTGTTGACATCCACCCCTTGGCGCTCATATGACTTTATGCAGTTGCGAGCGCCGTAAAACCTCGACTAAAACAAAACAAAAAAACCAACAAAGAACCTCTAGGGCGTCGAGGGGAGAAAGAGCTGCCTGTCTTTAGCAGCTTTGATGGCCTGGCTGGGTGGGATATTGTATGTTCTCAGGGTTTCCTTCACACTCTGGATCCAGGTCTTTCTTGGTCTTCCTCTCGGCTTGTACCCTGATATTTTTCTGTAGTAGGCTTTACTTGCAAACTAGTGAGGAGCCATACGCGTAAGATGTCCGAACCACTGGATTGTTTGCCTTCGAATGTAGTGGAGGACAGGTGTTGTTCCCATAATTTCTCTGATCTTATTTGTGACCATGTCCTGTTTCTGGTTTACGAACAAGATAGTTCACTCAGCCAAAAAAAAGTGTGCGCGGAAGTCCGCGCATTGGTTCAGATGGTGCTGCAGTCTTTGTTTGGAAGCTCTCTTTCGTTTTTCCGGAAGAGGAATAGGAATAACAGAGTTTGTTTGTTTTGCTTTTATTGTTTTTCACACAAGTAAGGTGTAAATGATCGCAAAATCCGCACTTTTTCGAAGAGGGCGCTTGGGTGGTTGGCGTGAGCTCTGGTGTGGTTTGCTTCTTCTTTCCTATCAAACATCTATCCTTATCTCCCCTCCTTTTTTATGCTTATTACTCTCTTGTAACATCTCAAATCTTCTGGCTCTCATATATGACCTTATTGTCTTGCCTGCGATGTAAAATCTCTACTAAAACTTTAAAAAAAAATTAATTAAAAATGAAGAGGGCGCCACCGAATTTTGGGGATATTTTTAAAAATTTGCTCCAAGAGAGGAGTGAACTATCTTGTTATACACGATCTTTGGTGTCCCTGAACTGCTGTGGCTGGCCGATAGCGTGGACCAGCCTGTATCTCGTGTTGTTGATAAGCCGGCCCCTGATATTGCAACGTTTGATAAACGGGCCCGCTGATATAAGTGATCGTCATTTAAATTAAAAGTACTGATAAGTCGGTGAGGGTTGTAATAATTTGTATTATATTACACGGGTGGTTGGAGGGTATCACTGGCAGGTTCTACTCCGTTTCTCTCTCTCTCTCT